CTTTCGCTCCTCTTTTATTTCCTCTGGGAGGGGCCATTCATCGTCCACCTGTGGCCTTACTCCCAAGTCCACCCCCACTCCTTAGCTGTCCCCTTCATCTGGCAACTCTGTGCATGTGCACACTGGGGACAGTTTCCAGCTTTTCGCCTGCCTCACTGATGTCTGACTCTGAAGGCAATTGATGACTGGCATATGGCACTGATCCCCTCTCTGCCTCCGACACAGAGCCCTCATCAGAGCCTTCCCCAGACTCCAGGACTGACCCATGTTCCTTCCCAATCTCCTCACTGTCTGAATTTGCTGCCAACTCTGCTGGCTGCTGGGGGCCACAACACATCCATCCATCCATTATGCAATCATTCTAGGTAGCTTGAAACAAAACAAATAAAACAATCATATTACCAATACAAACTAGCATCAAATTTTCCACCATAACTTCCATCATTGGCTCATCTCAATTTTTATCCAATGCTAAGGACTAAGATAGAGATGTTTTCCCAACCCTACAGAAGGTTAAGAGAGTAGGAGACCTCCAACTATCAGAGAAAGACTGTCCAAGAGGTTGCAGTAGAGGTGCATCTCTGATGTTCTATCAGATAGCAATGTTTAAGGGAAGGGACCTGGAGCGCACTTTCAATATTGGACCTGGCAAGAGGGGCAGAAGTCTTTGTAGTGACAAAGGAAGCGACTAAGAATTGACTGTGAAAAGGTTCCCCTGCACATGCGTGCTAATTGTTTCCAGCTCTAGGGACGGTGCTCCTCTCCGTTTCTAAGCCGAAGAGCCAGTGCTGTCCAAAGACATCTCCATGGTCATGTGGCCGGCATGACTCAACTCCCAAAACCGCACGGAATGCTGTTCCCTTTCCACCAAAGTGGTCCCTATTTTTCTACTTGCATTTTTACATACTTTCAAACTGCTAGGTTGGCAGAAGCTGGGAGAAGTAATGGGAGCTCATGCCGTTACGTGGCGTTAGGGATTTGAACCGCTGAAGTGACGACCTTCTGATCGACAAGCTCAGCGTCTTAGCCACTGAGCCACCCTCTGTGAACAGAGTGATTGCAAGGAAAGCATCTTGATCTAGGAATGGATTCAACAGGCAAATAATATTAATCTTCACAAAGCCTCTCCCTGACTTTGGCTGTGATATGTTCTTTCAGATGGAGTTATAACACCAAATTGGACACCAACTCTGCTTGCGGGTAATGCTACCCCATCCAGAGTCAATCATGACAAGTCACTGGAGAGGAGGTGAAAAACCTACAGCCACTTGTCTTATTAGGGTTGAGATCCAGCCAGTTCTCCATCCAGGCCCTTACAGCCTCAGGGTATATTCTGCGCAATCCAAAACTCCAGCTATTGAATGCTGCTTCATCCCTCTACACCGTTACTGCACTACACAAAGTATTCAGCTGAACTATGGCAGAGGAATACCAGTAGCTGCATTTTTTATAGAAGTGCCAGGCTGAGTAGGATGAACTCATTATAAAGATATCAGGCATTTTGCAAAAGTCATCTTCACCCAATTTCCCTCAAATATCACTGGGAGAATGGAAAGGGGGAAAAATAGGCAGAAGCTATTTTCTTTATAATTACTGTGGGGAAAAGAATCTGTCTCAAAAGAGAAATTCTGGATTTTAAATAAACAGGTCAAGAATCTATTCTTAGGTCCATCGGATTTGCCGGAAGTTTGGTAACTAATTATGTCTTAATTTCTTCATTTAGAACCTATTTCCAAACATGCTCTGTTAGCAGCCATAACAGAAATTGCTCTGGCCTAATGAAGACGAATTGGTTAATTGGGACAGGAACTTCATCAATTTGCTCATAGCTATTGGCGATGTTTTGCATTTGACAGGCAAAGCAAGGCAAAGAGCTGGGGGCGAAAACGTTGCATGCTGACGATAAACTGGCTAGTAATGAAACAATCAGAGAGCAACGATGATGCATCTATAGCAGTGTTTCTCAACCTTGGCAACTTGAAGATGTCCGGACTTCAACTCCCAGAATTCCCCAGCCAGCGAATGCTGGCTGGGGAATTCTG